TCAGTACTCACGCTTCAGCAGTGGGGCCCACAGCCCTGTAGTTAGCTGTGGTGCTAATAAGCTCAGTTTCCTCATAATCTTTGTTCACACCATCTCTCCGTTCCTTGGCACGGTCCCGGTATTTCTCTGCAAGTTCTCTTTCTCTCTCAATTTCCTGTTGACGGAGTTTGGCATAATAACTGTCACAAGAGAAAGTAAATAGGTAAGACTCATCAGCTGCTATCTAATGTTCAAAAGAATTATTTCTGCCTGTTTTGCTGTGTCTTCATCCATCTTTCTGCACTGAAAGTTATATATGTCCTAAAACAGAGCTACTGGCTACTTCTTGACAGTCCTTGTAGCAAAATTACAATTTCTTTTTCTTTTTTTTTTTTCAAAATTACAATTTCTTCCAGCTCACAGATGCTGCTCCACTGGTACCTTGGGACACTCCAGCTGTCTTAATGCCGCCTAACTCTACTGAGTCTCTATATCTATGAGGGACTTTTTCATATACAATTAAAAAAAAACTATATAAATATATTTTTAGACACAAGGTCTCACTATGTCATCCATGCTGGCCTCAAACTCAATAGATAGCCAGAACAGCCTTGAACTCATGCTCATCTCGTTTCAGTTTCCCAAGTGCCTGGAATTATTGTCATGTACCACCACACCCACCATCTCTTAATTTCATTACTTTTGAAATTTCTTTTTTTTTTTTTTTTTTTTTTGTTCCAAGGATTGAACTCAGGACCCTGTGCTTGCTAGGCAGGCACTTATGCCACTGAGCTATCTCCCTGGCCATACTTTTGAAAGTTCAACTAAAAATAACTCATTTTTTGCTGTTCTAAACTCAGAAGACAGGAAAATCAAACCAGCAGTTTCAGAAAGGTATTTTTTTTCAGAAAGTTTAATATTATATAAAAATGATGATGATAACAGCCAGGATTTAGTAGGTGATACTATATGCCAGGCACTGGTTCTAAGCATGTACAAATACTAATAAAAGCCTGAAAAGTTAGTATCATTATCTATAACCTTTTTTTTTTTTTTTTTTTTTTTGGGTGGTGGTGGTGGTGGTACTTTGAATCCTAAGCCTTCACTATGAGCTACACTTCCAGTCTTTTTGCCTCCCAGGGTGCTGGGATTACAGACGTGCACCGCCATGTGCTTTCTATTATTTATGTTCTATCCATAGATTAGATACAGGTTAAACAAAATACTCAAGGTTATCCAGCTAAAAACTAGCAGAGATATTAAAATACATTTAGTCTGACTCCAAAGCCATACACTGCCACTTACATCACTCTCTTCACAAGAAAGCAGAGAACCTCAAGATAACAAATGAAAATTCCAGCCTCTACTCCCTTTCCCCTGACATTATCTGTCTTAAAACTGAACATCCTTTCACTCCTTCTCTACCTTTTCTTCTTCCTCCTTCGTGCAGCTGGGTCTTCATCCTCATTGTACTCTCTTGGCATTCTACAAGAGACAAGAAAATCACTGACAGTAAAACATTGTCCCAACCTGGAAAATCCCAAGAAGTAGTCATAAGGATTTAAAAAAAAAAAAGGCCAAGAACACTGACCAAAGCAACAGCTTCAATCAGGCAGAGATAAACATCAACCTTTGTAGGTGATCAGTTCTCAAATTTTAAAAAGCATTAATATGCCTCCAAAACACTATTAAAATTAAATAGCATCAAGTATCCATCCCAGATAGCCTTCAGTCTATGGAGCTTTTTTTTTTTTTTTTTTTTGGTGGAACTAGGGATTGAACTCAAGCCCTTGAGCTTGCCAGGAAAGCACTTATTCCACTGAGCCATCTCCCCAGCCCCTCTATGGGGCTTTAACAGGTCCAAAACTCAATTCATCAGCACCAAGAGCAACTCCAATACAAAAGAAACACACCCTAGGAAACAATTAGATACTGGATTATCTCACTGGAGCACCCATCTTCACACAAAAAAACAGGATTAAAAAAAAAGACTAAGCTTTCAATGTCTAAAACATTCTGGTTCAGTACAAAGGTACAGACAGAAGCAAAGAAGGTGGAAGAGAGACTGGGTCACTTGAAGACTTACTCATGATGACGTGACTTAGAAGGCGGTGCAGAAGTAGGTGCAGCCCTTGGGGTCATGAGAAGTTTCCTGAAGTCTTCATTGGTAAGTTTGGATCTATAAAAGGCACAGATTTTAAAAATTAGTAACCAAGAGGAAATCAAACAGGAACATGTTAAAAAAAAAAAAAAAGGTTAATTAGAAATCAAAGAAATACAAAGTGAACCAATATAACTACTTTGAAAGGCAATTTGGCAATATTTTTTAAAATTTTAGTATGTATTATATAAATTAGTGACTCCTTTAATCTACATTTAACTCAGCCAATTATTATCATATATATATACGACCTGTAAAAGAGATTTAATGATAGCCTGAAAATAATAAAAAGTAGTAAGAACCTAAATGTCCCTTAACTGGAGATTTACTAAGCAAACTGATGGTGTTTCTCAAATGTAGGATAGATAGCACTGAGAATACAATGAAAATTTTAATTAGAACAGTGACAAGGACTTACTCCTTAATAAAACCAATCAATTCCCGGTTCCGCCAAAATAAATAAATAAATAAATAAAACCAGTCATACTCATTTGAGTCCTCTTGACTAGGGCTCTTCCTTGAACTACTGATCGTAGTCTTAAAAAGAAGAACCCTGTTAATTTATCGAGAATCTCCTGTTCTTGATATCTAATCAAGCTCTCTGTCCCCCTTCTCTGATCTTTGACATCTAACGAAGTTCTTCCCTCAAAGACTTTATTGAAAATGACTTTCACAACAGTTAACATTATTTCAATAAGAGAAAGACACAGAGCTTAACTCCAATACAACAGAAACAAGAGAAGATTTATAAAAAATTACTAAAAGGAACTTGGCTAAGTACTGGGGAGGGTTAATACTGCTATATATGGGGGCTCAGCAAGCCAAGGACAAAGCCTAGTCAAAAGTATATTCTTGGGGCTGGGCAGATGGCTCAGTAGAGTAAGCACTTGCCTGGCAAGCTCAAGGGCCTGAGCTTAATCCCCGGTTCCGCCAAAAAAAAAAAAAAAAGTATATTCTTGGTTTCTGCTGGTCTGTTGAAAGGGACAATTAATGCTTAATTTTTTTTCTCCTTTTTAATTTTTTACAATGTTTTCTGACCAATTTTGCATGCTTATATGTGGTAATCTGAACAACTAATTTGACAACAGTATGCAATATAACATCTGTTGAATTCTTATTATTTTGTTCAGTGAAATTCTGTATCGTTAACTATTTTTTATTCTCTTTAAAACATAAAAAAATTAAAAATAATATATGTTCTTGGAACCTGACAAGTTTGATCAAGAAGGGAGTTCTTGTCACTGTCATGAAAAAAATTTCCAAGACACTGAGTGGGGTTTTAAAAAACTGAAAAACACCATTCAAATATTTTAATGTGTAAAAACTTACAACTAATATATTTTCCTAAGTATGTGTACATAAATATGAAGAGTAAAAAGAAAAGATACACATTAAAAGAAAAAGACTGTGCTTACCTCTAAGAAAAGAACAGGAATTGGGGAGATTATCAAAGATTGGACCCTTTTCCCATTGTTTTAATTCTTTACAAGAATTAATTCCCATATAATATGCTGTTAATAGATTAAAGGAACAAGAACTTTCCTTTATCAGAATTTCTCCTCTAATATTTGCATATTAAGGTCCGAAATCACTTAAGGTTCACAGAAATAATAGGTCAAGTAGTACAATTTCTTGACCATCCTTGCTAGCAAGCTATCAAGAATTCTTTCACCACTAGCACCACCATCACTCCCATTCATTGCTTATCTCACTTTCATAATCCCAAAACAAATACTCACTGGTGGAAGGAGTGAGGATCATCCACATCATGGCCATCTGGGGCCAAAGGATTGGAGAACGGCTCGCCTAAGAAAACAACAATTACCGTTGATGTTATTAACGTTTGTGTCTGGTCCTTGGGGAAAACTGAGGACTACAGCAGCGAATGGTACAAAAGAAAGCCCAAAAGAGCCGCAGTAACAATACAAGGTTATACTGGCAGACCTCGCACCCTATAAATTGCAGTCGGGTGGCTGAGGCATGAGGATCGCCGTAGATTTGAGGCCAGCTTGGACTACACACTGAGTTCAAGGCCAGCCTGAACTACACAGCGAGACCCTGTCTCAAAAAAATAAAGAAAGAAAAGAAAAGAAATAAATAAAAAACGTAGTAAGTGTTGAAAAGATATAAGGAGCTTTGACAGCACAGACGGAATTTCTAAAACTGAACTAGAGAGGGCTAGCTAGCTCAGCGGCATAAGCGCATGCCTGGCAAGTGTTAAGGTCCGGAGTTTGATCCCCGGTACCAAAACAAAACACAAATAAAAACGCTACATGAAAGATCTGGCACAGTGGCCCACGCCTGTAATCTCAGCTACTCGAGAGTGACTGGAGAATGGCGAATTCAAAGCCAGCTTGGGCAACAGGGAGTCCCACGTCTCAAAAACAACGAAGTATAATAAATGAACTTCAGCGACATGCTAAGGAAGCCGCTGGGGGTGGTGAGAAAGACTGCCGTACTCCTGTGGAACCGTGAACCAGCTTGGGGAGAGTGTCCGGTCTCTTTCGGGAATGAAGGATTCGCCCGGCTGCGGCCGTTATACAACACTGGTTAAGATTTGTTGTCAAAATAACGGGCTCAATGTCCCTAGTCGCAGAGAAAAAAGAACAAAGTAGTCAAGTCTTACTATCTCGCTCCGGCATTTTGTCTCAGTCTCTCGGCACCCGCAAGAATCACCCTACGACTTGAAAACAGTGACGCTTTTCTCCCACAGTGCACCTCGAACACCAACCACAGTGCTTTGCGTTCCGACACCCAGCTTCCGCCCTCTCGCGTTGGTCCCAGCCTGCTGGCTGAGAAACCCAAAGCCACTGCGGCTCTAAAATGCTTTCGTATCATTGGCTAGCCTTTATCCCGCCCCCTACGTCATCCAATCCACTATTGGTCCGGCTCTAGAACCTGCTTGGAACGTCAGGGACTCGAATCTAAGGAGTAAGTGGAGATGGCGGCGGCTGCGGCTGGTAGAGTGGTTGGGGCAAAGCTGGGTCTGCGTGAGATTCGCATCCACTTATGTCAGCGCTCGCCCGGCAGCCAGGGTGTGAGGTGAGGCGCGGCGTGGTAAGGCGGGGGATTTCGGCACTAGGAGGTCAAGACCGCGACCTTCCGATGTTTCGGAAAACCCGCCTCCACTGTACGCGCAGCGCTCTTTCCCGCCCCGCAGGGACTTCATCGAAAAACGCTATGTGGAACTCAAGAAGGCGAACCCTGACCTTCCCATTCTAATCCGCGAATGTTCCGATGTTCAGCCCAAACTGTGGGCCCGCTACGGTGAGTGCGGGCTGGTCGGGATTTGGGAGGAAGAGCGGTCCAAGGTCACACAGAAGCATGTAGAGAGATTAAGCCCAGATTAAAGCCATTGTGTTTTCGTTGAAACATTTACTTTCGTGGATGTCATGCTTTGTATGTAGAACAAAATCTACGTGTTTTTTGTTTTTTTTCTCGGAGCCGGGGGTTGAACTCAGGCCCTTATGCTTGCCAGGGAAGCGCTTATTCTACTGAGCCATCTCCCTGGCCCCCTGCATAGGTTTTGGCTAGGACCTGCCTAGGGATCAAATCTGGTCAGAATTGGCTTCAGGAGCCCGGCTTGGTGGCACACACCTGTAATCCCAACACTTGGGATGCTTAGGCGAGATTGCTGTAAATTTAAGGCCAACCTGAACTATATAAGGAGACCCTGTCTCAAAAAAAAACAAATGCTATCCAATTTCTGTCGGCATAGGTCCTTTCAAATTTCCTGTGGCCAGTGCTGATGTAGTTGAGCACTTAGTGGTAGGCCCTGTACCAAGAAATCTGTTGTCTAAATTTCATTTAATTCTGATTAATCATAAGAGGTGTATTTTTTTTGTGACTAGAAAAATAAATCAAAACATTATTGAATAACTTGATGCAGCTAATGTATAACAGGATTGAGCCTTTACATCTGTCGCCTTTTCTTAGAATGCACCTCCAGACTTACACAGTTGACACATTAGTTTGTCGTCATTTGTGTCTGAATCACTTCAAAAAGGCATTCCTCAGCCAGGAATGTAATACTCAGTTCCTTTTCCTATATCATATTCCAACATATCTCAATAAGAATATTTCTGGGGCTGGTGAGATGGCTCAGTGGTCTAAAGCACCTATTTGGAACAGGCTTGGCAAAGCACAGGGACCGCGGTTCAATCCCCCAGCACCACATGCTAGCCAGCCCCACCCCCTGGTGGGCTGAGCTAGCCCCCCACACACACACAAATAAATGATAAAAAAAAAAGAATATTTCTTATGCTTCCCAACACATAGTAGATATGCAGTAAATGCAGTTACACAGAATTTTTTCATTATGTTCTGCCCTTGTAATATGTGGGGGTGAGAAAAAATTACACCTAAGGCAGGTTGGGTACAACTGGAGACTATTATGTCAAACACTAATAATTGAGGGAGAAAAGATTCTCTCCTTTAAAGCCAATAGATTTAAAAACAGCCAACTTTGGTCTATTGTGCCATGTATTGTTAGGAAGACTGAGAACCCAAAGAATAGGAAGCCAGCCAAGGCTAGGCCCATATATAAAATACACTGCCTGCTGTGGTTAATAATAAATGCCTAGTGACCCTTAAAGCTTCCCTGAAACACCTTTTTTCTCAAAATTCTTGTTGGACCTAGGATTCCTTGGTGTATTTTGAAACTCACTGGATTAATTTCAGGCATACCAAATTCACCTTGATCATAATCTCTTTACTGCCTTTCATATCCTAACAAGACTCATAATTTGGTAGCTCCAAATGAGGTGTAATGCTGTAATCTCAGCATTCAGGAGGCAAACTGATGTGAGTTTGAGGCCACCCTGGGCTACATAGTGAATTGAAGACCAGTCTGAACTACAGGGTGAAACCCTGTCTCAAAAAAAAAAAAAAAAAAATCTGGTAGACCCATAATGCAGAATACTTATTTAGTAATCTCTCTCTTCAGCATTTGGTGAAGAAAAGAATGTCTCCTTGAACAACTTC